AGACTTTTTTAACACGGACTTCCAAAGTTTTTCATATTTTTTCCTGTTCCTCTGCTAGAGCTTCGTTCAAAAATGTTTCGTCCCGTGAAAACCTCGTAGAATATGCCGTATTCTTTAAAACATAGCTAGCACGAGCAACACTGCTCGACATTCGCGATCACCATGTCAATAATGAGCATTAAATGCAATTCTGAGCTCACATGTGCTTTAAAAGTTAACTCGTAAGCCTGATGTTAAATCTTGAATAATTCAAAATTACTTCCTGTCTTCTTCTGCCATTGGTCATTGGGGAGAGTTAGTATCTTCTATTCTTTCTAAAACTAGAACAAATCTAAGCGACTTCTGTGCTAAGTAAGAAGATGTCGACACTTTACTTCTAGAGTAGTTCAGTCATACTGTATACCAATTGATATATCCAGTGTACCTTTACGTGGACCTAGAATTAAGTCCAAAGCAAACGAGATTGCAAAAAGATGCAGACATTCAACATTTCAGTTATTCCGCTGATTCGCTGTACCTGTTCCAAAAGAGATAGTTTCATCATTAGGGATTTATGATGAAGCGAATAAAGTTCATGAAGAAGCAAACAATTGGTTACATGAATTTGACTAAGTGAGAGAAAAGTATACCTCGTTGTGTCTATAGTATGGACGAAACTGGACTTTCCCAAGTTGTACCCTCGGAATAAAAGGTGATAAGTGCCATGGTGGAACACTCAGAAAACAGCGTTTAACTATTGTCTTTGTACATAATGCAGACGGCAGTGATAGACACCGTCCATGGGTGATCAGTAAATCCGAGAAACCACGCTGTTTTAATAAAAACATAACAGTACTTTAACTTGCATCTACTCTCATCATAAGAAAGCTTAAACCGACAGTTCATTATTTCAGAAATAGCTTCATTTTAACAGTCAATAAATATAAATAGGCATGTCTATTGTCCAAATGGCATTTGTGAATGAAATGAAAATATGCATGTTCATATGACATTGGAAGTTGTACAGCCCATGAAATACAAGATCTGAACTTAACAAATATAAAGTTTCACTTTTCCTTCCCAAGTGCAACAAGTCGTCTTCAGCCTGTGGATCAAGACATTATTGCTGTTATGAAGAGGTATTATCGCAAGCGACTTGTGAGAACTGCAATTCGCGCTGCTGAAATGGAGACGGAAATGACAACTTGGAGTGTGCATGATGCTATAAAAGTTACCGTCGCATCCTGTAAATCCGTGGCTTCACGACACATACAGAACTGTTTTAAAACAACCTAGAGACATAAAGGCGTAAATCATGTTGGTGGGTTAGAGAGTGGCAACGATATCAGTTCACCTGACGAATAGAATATTCTACAAGATGTTGCTAACACTAGTGTTAGTTCTGAGCACTTTGTTAGTACAGATGATGTTACCGTGTATGCTGCAGTGGAATCTCATGTATATAAGCAGTTGTGACTCAGGTGCAAGAAATGTCATCAAATGAAAGTGAGGATGATATCATCATTCTGCACACCAGCAAGGAAGTATTAACGCCTTGGACACTTTAGAATGTTTTGCTGCAACTTCCGAATTTACCGCTAGTTTTGCGGAAGCCATGAGTGCAGCTGGCCGTGAAATTACCAGACATTTTCGTTATCGTCTACGACAGCAAATATACAGTAATGTTTCACTAGAAAATAATCAATGATTATATTTTTTCAAGTTGCAGTACGGTAATTAAAGAAGTTTTCTATTAAGATATACATCATATACTCTATTACGTGTGTATCTATATACTGCAAAGGATTAATATGTAGAAAAAATTATTCCAAAAATAAAATTTAAGTCTCCGGTTAACACGAATGCTTTTAGCATGAACTCTTGATTTTTCGGTCCCTTCAGATTCGTGTTTACGGGGGTTTACTGTAGTAGATAAGCGCGATCAGGTTGTAGAGTCATTAGGATTTCTAAAGTAGGAAACACGAAAAATGAGCGATGTTTTCGCCGGGACTCGAACCTGGACCTCTCGAATACGTGCCAATTGTGCTACCGTTATACCACGAAGGCATGCAGAAAGGAGAAAACATCTTATAAGGTAAGGTTATCGACGAATTTCCCCTATCTGCGAATTATCCCTATCATTGTTTAGATCATTATAGGTCTCTGCTTTCTCTCACGATTGTAAAATCTAGATTTCTTAGAATTTTTACCACGATATTTTCCGAAGAATTTCTTAACTTTGTCACCTCTTTTTCCTCGCAAAAATTTACATTTAAACTCACATTTTCTAAATTACTTTTTTTTTTTAATTAGCAGGTGCAAAACTGTGCGACAAACACAAACTGCATGACTAAACGGATATTAAAAGCGTTGTTTCATTCTGTTGAAGATTAATATCAGAAGTATTGTATTTCAAAATTTCTTGTTACCTATCAATTGCTCTCTGCCTGCGAAAATTGTTTCTTGAAAAGATTCTCACAAACAACTAATTTTTGATAATCTTAAAAGTTCAGCATACAGAAATTCAGATAAATGGATAACTAACGAATTAAATGTGATTTCTCGGACAATGACCCTGCCCAGGTCATCGTTCGTGACACAACGCTTCCAAGTTGTTTATTAACGGTATTTAGAAAGCTGATCACCAGTGAATTATCGTTGCTCCATAGTGACGCTTACAGAGTCGGGGCAAGTTACTTCTGTCGTGAAATATAAAATCATAGAGTGCCACCTGTTCTGAAGATATTCTTATTCGACGATTTATCTCTCAGTATACTTGTTCATTTTGTTTTAAGTCTCATACATAACATATACTTTTTATAGTTTTTCAGGCTTTTATATTAAACTGATATTAGAGGTGTACAATTCGTTCATTTAAAATAACATCCCCCCTCGAGAGAAATAATTTTTCTCGTTTATTAGTTTAATTTACGTATTATGTAGTTTATATATTAATATAGTTCACACATAAATAAAATGTGTTACTAATTTTAATATACTAAACTGGTTATTTTAAATTAAATTTCCCTAGTACTGTTTGCTTTTCGGTTTAGTACTAAAGAATATTAGTTCTGTAAGCTATTAAACTTCAAAAGCGTATGTTTTCGAAAAAGGTTTCTTTAATTTTTCTATAAATTATTTGCTTTTCATTAGATTCACTCATAGAAAACCAGTTTGGTAAATCCTTAGATATGTGAAAATATTATCTATATCGTGATACCTTTACAATTCAGTGATAATTTAATTCTGTTTATGAAACGTTTGAAAAGTATTTTGAGACATGTTTTTATTGATATTTCTTAATTCTAATCGTTTCTTAGTCCATTAGCCATAATGAACTATTTTTTTTTATTCAAATGAATTGGGAAATCAGTACTTTGTAAATATGTTACAAAATACGAATTATCAAATACTACCTTTGGAACATTTTTAGCTGTCAAGTGCATTTGAAACGAATGAAAATTGAAGCAGAAAAAACGTTTGTCATAATCATCATTCCTCAATCATTATTTGGTTGGGGGAGTCCAAAGCAAAACGTGACTGCATAACACCTTTCTTTATGAGTATTTGATTTTTTCTGTTTCTATGCAGTATGATTTATAAAGATATTCAATTATTTTAGACGTGATTTATAGAATTTATGAGAAAAAAAATTTTGGAAGCTGTCTTCTGCTTTTCATCTGTTTCTGCTAGATATGATGCAGAAAATGCATCGCCATTAATGAAAGGTGTTGCATAAATCAAAATCAACGTGTAAAAGGTAATTTATAAATAACATTTAAATTCTTTTTAGTGATTAGCCTTTTTTTAAGTAACATTTTAGTTCTTTCACAACCGCATCGAAAATTTTCGTTTAGCATTCTTATCCTTTAATTTAATTAATCCTATGGAGTTTTCGAAGGATTTTAAAGCTCTGAATACATTAGCCCTAAGTTCTAATATTTCAAGCAAAAACTCTTACTCTTTGTGTGTATATATCGGCATTTGTGTACTGACTGAAATTTTTGTTGTCTGTAATTAATAGTTTGCAAAGTTGTGAAATTGTGTTCTAATAATACTTAGCATTTAAACCTTGTAAAGTAATGAAGCATACTAAAAAAAAAAAAAAAAAAAAAAAAAAAAAAAAAAAAAACTTTCGTCGGATTCATCGTATCGTGCGTGTCGCTTCAAGATTTACATTTCATCATGTTTGCTTTAATATGAGAGGCGTAAAAAGTTCGCTTATATGATCCCTTGGTTGCTTTTTTTGGCTGGGGGAGGTTGATCCGCCAGAAACGGGCTATATGGAGCTGCAGGAAAAAATACTACATTCAAAAATAAATCGCGGAAAGCAGCTCGAAGTTGCTCTTAGTTTTGGATAAAATAATTAAGTTTGAATGTACTTGGGAATCAAGCGATTCAAAATAAAGACGGCATCTTGAAAAACTCGTGAATCCACCAATTATAGCGATAGCACTCATTTGGTGAACAGCAAGCATAAAGCATCTCGTATAAAATAGACCGCTTCATCTGAAGCATAATTGAGGAAGCAATTTAGGATAACATGGGTGATTAACTCAAGGGAGGGGTCCAGATGTCTGAATTAATTCAAAATGCATATTTTCGAATCGAACAATCTAACATTTAATGTGTTTTGCTAGCAAATTCCTCAAAACTCTTGAAATGTATTAAATTTAGGCTTTCAACATAATATAGCGACTGCTCGATGGCCTTGCTGAACTTAAAATTGTTTTAGATCATTGTCGAATGCATGAAGTATCGATCTTCTCATAACTTCCAATGAGTTTCTGAATTGAAGCAGTGAGTAATGAACCTGTCTAAATCTAGTTAGAAAACTAAATGATGTTTACACTTTATCTGTCAGCTACGCAACGAAACTCAAGAAAGAAATTGCGCAAGCATTTCTTTCAAAGCCGTGGGACAAAATAGATGCATTTGAATACAATCACGTGATTCCTTTATCTTCTGTCACGAGCTGATATATTTTCTTCTACCTGGCACGATCTTTGCACTCGAATAGTCGATTAGCATGACATAACTCACAAGCAAGAAAAGAATAGGTTTTAAAACTGGCTAATTATTGTCTGTAGATGGGACAATAGCTTAAAATCTTTCCTCTTCAATAATAAATGAACTTGGTAGTGAAAAAGAGGTGCTTTCTCGATTTTCTCATCAATATTAGTTGCATGAATGTTCTTTTATTAGGTTATCTTCCATCACAACTGAGTTCCTGTTTTTCACTTGGATAAACCTTGTGTGTTTTTTTTTAAGTCCATAATTTTAATGGAAAATTAGAACCATTCTGTGCATGCTTGTTGTTGATTATTTGTTCGAAACTTTACCTGCCGCACTGTCATTTCTAAAATCGTTATGCTTCACGAAATTTCACGGACCGTAATCGGAGTTTACGTTGCTGTGCGAGTTTACTTCTTATTTTTTTCTCAAACTAACACAATCTTAACTTTTTTATCTGTACAATCAATTAGTAATTATGTCAGCAGATTTATTTACCACTCGATTCATTAAAGTTGAGTTGAATGTCTAACGATACTTATATAAACCAAATAGTTTACATTCTATGACCGTTATGCAAGAATCGAGCAGTGCCCACATCAAACTTTTTTTTTTGGGGGGGGGGAGCACTTAGCAAACATTTCATAACTACTTCTCTTTGAAGAGATGTGTGATTTGTAATTGTGAATATGGCTTGAAAACTTAGTTAATAGATTTTAATTTTTAATTTCTTTTTTAGATGCTTATATCTGAGAAATTTTCCGGCTTCCTGAACTGATGGATAAGACACAATGACTCAAGCAAAACTTGTTGCTGTTATAGGCGCTGGAGCAAGTGGTTTAACCACAATTAAAAGCTTAAAGGAAGAAGGCTTCTATGTTGTTTGTTATGAAAAAACTGACAACTTAGGAGGACTATGGAAGTACCGCGAAGAAGAGATCGAAGGAGTTGGATCAGTCATGAATTGCACTGTATCGAACATCAGCAAGGAGTTAATGGCCTTTAGTGATTTTCCTCCTCCAAATTCATTTCCAAATTTCATGTCGCACAAATATGTTCTAAAATATCTAGATAAATATGCTGAAGCGTTTGATCTTTTAAGACATATTAAGTACAGACATGAAGTTATAAGAGTTTTGCCAACAGCTGACAACTACAGAACTGGACGATGGGAGGTTACCATAAAGGATTATGCTAAAAATAGATTACTAGTAGAGGTTTTTGATGGTGTGGCTGTTTGTGTTGGACGATATGGATTTCCGAGAATTCCTAACTTCAATTCCTTGGAAACTTTCAAGGGTAAAATTCTGCATACCCATAACATAAAGAATGCCGAACCTTTCAAAGACCAACGAGTACTTGTCGTTGGGGCAGGGAATTCTGGGGCTGATGCTGCCGTGTATTTGTCTACTGTTGCTGAACAGGTAAGTTATGTGCAATTTTTAATTATTCTATGCTTTGTGCATAACTTATCAACTTTGTGTGTCCTAAAATAAACACTCTTTTTATCCGTATGGGGAGATTTTATATTTTGTACTGTGCTTTTATATTCTCAAATAAACTAATTTCCAAGCCAGTTACAGTTAATTTCTTCGGTCTTTTGCATCTTCCTTGAGTGTGAAACAATAATTTGTTTTAGTAGAACTAATATTTTTACTGTATCAACTGCAGTATGCTTGTCCTTTATGGAACATTAATACTTGTTAACATTTTTAGATCGTTATATAAGCACTGTTATCAAATACACTGTATTCTTGAAGTAGTAGTGTATTAAAGAGGTAAGAAAAATATTTACCTTTTTTTTCGGGGAGGGAGGACAGAAGTTATGTTATGGATTCTAAAACCTGTTTCCCAGATTTTTCTTTTAAATATTGTTTACATTCTGCATTTTTCATATATCGTCTTAACATGAATGTTACTAAAATCTCTATTTAATCTTAAAATGTTGTGTGACGGACATTATGGGATGTCACGTAAGATACTGAAAATGTGAAGATCTTACCTTAGCGAGTAAAGAACATTCTAGAAATTCATATTTTTAAACTGGTATATTAACTAGCAATTCAAAATTTAACGGTAAATGGCAGGAAATTTAATAGCAGCAAATATCGAATATATTTTTTAAAACTTTCTCTTATTCCTCATTGATTTATTTTTTCACTATATTTTTCGACCTCATTTTTACTTCAAAATGTAATAATGTGTAAGTATATCGTATTCTTATGAGGTAATTTATACGTTCAAGTTTATAATTCGAATTTATTGCTAAAAAGTAATGATTATATATTACTAGTGTAACGAATGTGCAAATGGCAATTCAGTAATGACAGAAAAAGGTCACAAGGGTCAGTGATTAAAATTTAAAAAAATAATAATAAAATGTCCTTCACTTAAATTTCTTGTACTCGTATTTTTTAGTTTAATAACATACGCAGAACTCTCTTAGAACAGATTTAAAAATTCAAATATTGAGTATAATTATGAAAATATTTTCAGTTGCAAAGAAAAACTTTCATTAAATCAAGAAAGCAGGCCATTAATATGGCGAATTTTTCATTAGCTGAAATGCAAATTAAATTCTAGCCGGGCCTTTTTATGTGCATGTTTTTAGCTGTCCTTTTATGTGCATCTTGAAGTGACAATTACGATACGATGAATCCGATGAAAGTTTCTTTTAGTTTTCAAGATGCGCAAGTTTTATATTTTACCGTATTTAAAAAGCATCATGCTTTGACATGTCTAACTCCATGATGACGTTTTGAAATAATTTAAAGAAGTCACGCCAATACCCAATGCAGTTACCCCGTCGTCGGCCGGTGGTTATGTTGTTTCCAATGTACCGTTGTTTCTTAAACTGTGAAGACTTATAAAATGTGTTGGATGCAAAATTAATCACTCTTGCAGAATTTGAGTAATACCAGTCGAAACTATAACAATTAATCTGCTCAAAATCGTACCGTTAATTTTTGTCATTTATTTCAAATTTTCTTGATCTCTGAGGACAATGGATTGTTATATACTACAGTCATTTATTTTGTAATCTGTGGTGAAAGCAATATTTTCTTCAACAACCGTACGAATGAATGTATTTAATAGCAATTTTTATATATATATGAATATGAAAATATTTGAATGAAGTAGTACCGGATACTCTGTAGAGACATCAGGTTATTTTGAAGCAGGAGACATGAAAATGTGCAGTGCCGTCGCCGGGACTCCTCGGACCTCTCGAATACGCGCCGAGTGTGTTGGGCGTTGCATCACAAAGGCATGCTAAGAAGGCGGGAGAAATACCTTATATTCTCCCCCTTTTAAAGGGCGACTGGGAATTAGGGGATCCAGTTGCCAAATCCTGGTGCTGGAGAATCATCATCCACCACCTTTTCTTTAGTTCGGGCGCCACTGCAGAGACATTAGGTTATTTTGAAGCACGAGACATGAAAAACGTTTAGTGCCCTCGCTGGGACTCTAACCTCGGACCTCTCGAATACGCACCGAATGTGCTGGCCATTACACCGCGAAGGTGGGCTAAGAAGGCGGAAGAAATACCTTATAACTCACTCCCAACTAAAATTAAATGTATTCAGCCCAAAAATAAGAGGAAATTTTACATTACGAACAGCTTGTTAAGAAGTTTCATATAAAACCTTTAAGTATATTTATGAAATTTATTGTATTTGTTGAACTGGAACACTAACGTTGGCAGGACATGTTGAAAATCTAATGGCTGGCTGGAATCTTAACAATTTGCTGAAAATCTGTTAGTTACTTATTGACTTCTGGTTAGTGGTACAGATTTTAAAGTTTACTTCGAGTTGATTTGTTTCATAGCACATACTCTTTTTTTTTTTTTTTTTTTTTTTTTTTTTTTTTTTTTTTAAGGGTCACCCTTAAAAAACAATCCGATCATTGTGAAATTTTGCATTATAATTCTATCTTACCAAGTATGCAAATGATTAAATTTTCAAGGCCAGTGAGAATTCGGGCATAGCGCTCATTTCTACTTCGCAGCTAGCATCGTATAAAGCAGGTAACAATTGTGGACGATTTATCTTTATTCGATGTGGCCTTTGAAGTTCCCTGGAAACACAACCAATAATCCCGTTACGATGTTCTCGAAGACTTTATAAACAACTTATTCGACGACTTCGAACATGGTCAGTAGAGATGCGTGAAGCGAGTTGGCCATACCAAGCAATAAGCCACCGGGCTGGAGTCCGAAGCGGGAGTGGTACTGCACCGGGACTGGGCGAGACTGGCCGGGAAAGCGGTCCGGACCAGCGTCGGGGGGCCTTCCCGTGGAATGCCTCAACTGCGCGACGCGCCGGGGACTAAGCTCGGAGCGACCGGTTTCGGCGGGCAACTAACAGCCGACTCAGAACCGATACGGACTAAGGGAATCCGACCACTTGCACAATGCGGACACGACTGTACAAAGGTGCTGGCTACAATGTTTGCTGCAAGGTACTTATAGGCGGAATCAAGGCTGTGGAAGGCGAAGATGCATGAATGCGAAACAAGATCGGATAATTCTGCAACAGGCCCGAATTACTCCAACGGCATCATTGTCTGCTGTCCGACGTTCTGCAGCTTCTTTCGTGGCACTTTCCGCCATCTCACGGCGCTTGGCTGAAGCAGGGTTGCCTCACAACAACCTTTAAAGACGACTGCTTTTTTTAACCCCATAGCATCGACGTAGTCGTCTGGAGTGGTGTCATAGCCGATCATCATGGCTGCCAGCCGAACCGCTTCAGTCTTAGAGTAGATAACCCTTGGGTCCTTGTGGGGAGGGGCCAGGGGTCCAAGTCAGCCTTTATTTCACAGAGACTTAAGCCATTACAGGGGTAATGGCTTAAGTCTCTGTGAAATAAATGCCGCCCATTAGAGGCGTGTGGTAGTGTAAGGTGCTATCTTTTACAACAGCAGATCATTCATACATCTTTAACAGCTCAACAGTATGTTAATGATATCCTGCGGCCGTTTGCGTTATACTTCAAGGAGTAGTTTTCCAACAGGATAGTGTGACATGCCAACTTAATCATAACAGCTGCGCTTTTGTTGATGTAAACTTGACTGACCTCAGGTTTTATTTTATGAACAAAGATATGAATTAACTGTTATTGCTGTGATTTTGTTTTTCATTTTGGAAACAAATATGATTAAAATTTAGAATGTGCCTTCTACAGAAAAGCAAGCAGTGGATTATTTTAATATGGTAGTTGTAAGATAGTACCATAAAAAGCGTTTAATAGCGGAACTAATATGGTCAACTGATAATGGCCGACAAAACAGTAATAGTACATTGGAACAATTACCTGTGGGAAGTTTCTACCCATAGCGATCTAAATACAGCTTCTGGTAAAATCTGAAGGCATAACAAAACAGCAGATATCCATGAAAAACTTTTCTTGAAGAGCAAAAACAAAACGGATCGAATACTGACTATTTGTTAAATAAAGAGGTGTCAATTCCTTTAAAATTCCACACGAAGGACTGGTGCAACGACCCCATACGCTCTCATATTTCTGGACTGTTTTCGAGTCTTTGATGCTCTTCCTTTTCTAGTAAGGTCACCAGACCTTTCGCCAATCGAATATGTATGGGATATTATGGTAGACCGCCAGATTCGGGCACCCCAAAATGTCACAGATCTGGAGCAACAATTAAGGAATGCCTGGCCGAATGTATCAGAGGAGGAGATTAGGAATTTTTATCACTCCTTACCTGAACGTTTACAAACATTAATCACCGACAGGGTGAGTTTCACCAGTTACTGATTTGAACATTCACCAGTTACTGATTTGAACATTCAGTGTGCAATTGCTAGCAACTGATGGGTCCTAAGGCCTTGAATTTTGAGTCATTTCATAATCAGTGTATGAGCTTTTGCGCATTTTTAATTCCATAAAACAGGTACTTTCTTCATGTTGTCTTTCTTTATCTTAAATATGATAATTATAATTAACAAGAACGTTATGAAACTCTGACTGAGATCAAAATACTTAATTTAGATAAAATCTGTAACATGTAATTTTAGGTAGTTAAAAATTGCAGAGCAGTATTTTTTATTAGTAGTCTCCGAAAATTAACATTTTTTGGAGTCAGTTGTTATATTATTGATTGATAATTCTAGTGTCATCAAAAAGTTAATACTATTCAAACTTTGGTACATAACATGAAAGACAAGATAAAAATTGGAAGTTCTACAACTGGAAGTATCGCTAGCAAGTCTTTCTTTATTCGAGGTACCGAGTGGTAAAGTCGCTGAATACTGGTAGTTCGGTCCGGAGTTCTAATCTCGGCGAACGGGCTGGCTGCATCGAAAATAATTCCGTTAACCATTGTCATTTAAACTAAATAATTTAAAAATGCTAACGGTCTCCTGTTTTAGCATCTTCAAATTACTCAGTCAATTTCTTTTTTT